GACGACGACAACAACACACACACACACACACACACACACACACACACACACACACACACACACACACACACACACACACACACCTGCCCCTGCTGCTGGTTGCGTGCAGCGGGAGAGAAATCGCGCGAAAAGCCGGCGTGGTCTGCGTCCTGCGACGAACGCTGCTGCTGGTTGGAGGATGCATAGGCATCTGTGTACTGGGATGGGCCTGTGTCATCTCCTCCTGTCACTTCACTGCTGTGCTCACTGCGCGCGAAGAGACGCAAGGGTGCTTGACGCTGCTGCTGCTGCTGCTGCTGCTGCTGTTGTTGGGGGAAAGGTGGCTGATGGCGGTGCTGTTGGTGGGAATGGGGATGAGGGTGGCGTGGAAAGGCGCCCATGTTTGGCAGGAGCGGCAGTGGCGGGAACGGTGCGCCAAGTGGCATGTTGGTGGCCCCGCCAGAGGTTGGGAATGGCGCGTTGTGGCGATGCTGGTTCACATCACCACGTGCACCCCCGCTGATGCTGCCATCAACATCGTCATCACCATCAGCAACTGCATTGGTGGTTGTTGTCGGCGCATATGTGCCACTGCTGGCATCGTCCTGCTGCTGAGTGGCAAAGGGTGTCTCGTTTTGCACAGCAGACGCTTCTTCGCGTGATGAGGAGATTGGCACGTCCTCCACCGCTGTCATGGTGTCAGCAGCACCGCTCTCCTTAATCGACTGCTCAAAGCCATCATCCACACCATCTTGTTGTTGTTCTTGTTGTTGCTGCTGCTGCTGCTGCTGCTGTTGTTGTTGTTCTTGTTGTTGTTGTTGTTGGTGCTGCTGCTGCTGCTGTTGTTGTTGTTCTTGTTGTTGGTGTTGTTGGTGTTGTTGTTGGTGCTGCTGCTGCTGCTGCTGCTGCTGTGGGTGGCCCCGCTGGTGGTGCGAGTGCATGCGCTGAGCCATGTGCATGTGCATGTGCATGGCGGCTGCTGCTGCCTGGCCATACGGTGCGGGCATTGCGTACGGGTTGCCCATCATTGCGGGCGGGATTCCAAACATGCCATACTGCTGCTGGGCGAGCGCAAACGCCATCTGCGCAGACGGGTGCATTGCCATCATCTGCTCACTGCCGAAAAAGGGGACCGGCATTCCGGGCGCCCCGCCGCGCTCATCCATCATTGCAAACGGCTGCTGTTGCTGCTGTTGCTGCTGTTGTTGCTGTTGTTGCTGTTGTTGCTGTTGCTGTTGCTGTTGCTGGCGGACGCGTGGAGGGGATGTGGTGCTTGCCTCATCCCTGGCCTGCGTTTCCCCAGCACCGTCGTAGTCGCCTGCAGGCTTGATGTCGCCAGTGGCAGTGGCAGACCGATCCGTGTCGACGAGGTCCGGTTGCTGCTCGCCACTCTCGTCCACAACAGTGCCTGTCGTGGCGGTTGTGGCTGGCGACTTGACCATCACCACCACTGCACCTTCGTCGTCGTCATCAACGTACGACACAGCGCGTGCAAGCGCTGCCTCGTCCTGCTGCACACCTGCCTCGCCACCATCGACATTGTTGGTGTCCGTGCTGTCATCGTGCTCGCCCACGCCCATGATGGCTGGATCGTCAAACAGAGACATGTCCACGGCCGTGTTCTCGTCAACCAGCTCCTCCCCGTCCTCTGCATCTCCCTGTACGGTCTCTTGTTCCTCCTCCGCCTCGACCACCTCTTGATCCCCTTCGCCAACAGCTTCGCCAAGACCACGCTCGCTGTCTGCCGTCGCATGCACGTCATCCCCATCATCGCCCATCGGCAAATCAGGCTCGTCCACACCGCCAATGACAACATCAAATGGCGCAGACACATACGCGGCGCCCGGCAGCGTCACCTAATGGTGGTGGTGGTGTTGATGATGATGATGATGATGACGATGTAGCGGTGAGTGGTGGCTCACCGATTCGGCACGCATACATGCGTAGATGCACACGCGTATACACATGCACATTGTTGTGACCTACCGCAGGAGAAGTGATCACGGCAGATGAAACTTTCTCTTCTTCTTCTTCTTGTTCTTCTTGTTCTTCTTGTTCTTCTTCGTTCTCTTGCTTCTCCTCTTCGGCTGCATCTTCATCGCCGCTGTCCTCTGCATCACTCAAGGGCGCTGAAGACGAAAGTGACGACGTGCTGAGAGACGTTGCGAGCTGCCCCTGTATGTCGAGTGTGCGAAGCATCTGCTTCACAACACCCGTCAGCAGGGACGCGTCGTTGTCGCTATCGTTGTCGACAGCACCTACGGCAGCTGTTGCTTTCCCAGCAGCATCGTTGTTGTTGTCGCTTTCGATGTCCTCCTGCGGCTCGCCTGCTGCTGTTGGTGTCTTCTTCGCTGCAGCGTCCATGCACACGTACGAGCGCAGCGCCTGTCATCACAGCCAATGCAAAACGTGCATGAGCGAAGCACGAGCCAATAGGAGCAACACACCATGTGCAATGTGTGCGTATGGGTGTGTGAGTGTAAGTGTGTGTGCGTGTGCGTGTGCGTGTGCGTGAGTGTGTGTGAGTGTGTGCGTGTGCGTGTGCGTGTGCGTGTGCGTGTGCGTGTGCGTGTGCGTCAGTGTGTGTGTGCGTGAGTGTGTGTGTGCGTGAGTGTGTGTGCGTGTGTGTGTAAATGTGTGTGTGTGTGTGTGTGTGTGTGTGTGTGTGTGTGTGTGGAAGCGAGTGCACACGAAGCGGTGCATGTTCAATGGCGCTCACCTCCGCAGCGGCGGCGCGAGTCGTGCAACGATCGAGAAAGGAGCGCATGGGCTGATGGTGGTCGTATGGATGACGGTAATCGCAGTCGTGATGGCGATTGTAGTGGTCATGGTGAGCAGAGATGGTACCAAAACAAACGCAACACGGTAATGTAATAAAACTGCTAGAGGATAGCGTGTGTGTGTGGGGGGGGGTGCGTGTGTGTGTGTGTGTGTGTGCCTATGTGTGTGTGTGTGTGTGTGTGTGTGTGTGCCTCTGTGTGTGTGTGTGTGTGCCTATGCGTGCGTGCGTGCAATCATGTCACCTCGTGGCAGATTGCGGGCAGGCGGTCGTTGTTCAAAGCCGTCGCCCCTAGGAGCACAAGTGCAAACTGATGAAGAGATCCAAGCAACAAATGCACAGACACACAGAACAGGAGACGTGCGTGGGATGTGATGTGATGTGACGTGAGAAGTGACGGGGAGTACGGACATGACAAGCTGGTGATTCACACCACAAATCGACTCATTCGTCGCTGTGCGGCTGCGTCTGTGTTTGTGTGTCTATGTCTGCGCGGCTGTGTGTTCATGTGGATGTGTGCATTCCGAGTGTAGTGGGGCGGGGGCGGTTCATGCGTACATCATCGCAGCATTTCGTGATGGCGCTGGAGACCAGCTTCTCCACGTGCGACTGGAGCTCTTGCTCAAAGGCCTTTGTCTGTCGTCAGTGCACCAAATAACACATCGCATGCACGCACATGTGCGCACGCACGTGAGCAAGCGCCGATCACCAACACACGCGCCACACACGCGCACAACACAAACAGACAAGCCACATCAAGCACGTAACACAAACACACACGCGCGCCACAGCAAGCACACGACGCAACAAGCATCCCCTCCCCCCGCCCCCAACCCCCGCTGGGCCGCGAACCTGGGCGATGTGCGCGTCGACGTTGTCTGAGATCTCTTCGAGCAGCGTGATGCGTGCATCCACCTCCCGCTTGCGGGCAATGGCGACCTTTTCCTCCCGGCTCAACTTCATGTCCGGCCGAGTGCGGCACGCCTCCTCAAGCCGCGTGATGCGCGCCTGGTGGGGAGGGGCGACGTGGTGGTGGTGGTCGTGAAGCGGTGGTGGATGGTGAAGGAACTGAGACACAAATCGCACACAAACATACAAACACACACACACACGTACACACAAATACAATCACGCTCGTACACACAAACACGCATACACACGAACACACGTACACACAAATGCGCACAATCACACGAACACACGTACACGTACACACGTACACACGCACACGCATTCGCATAGACATCACTGGTGCCTACACACACCTTGCGCTTGTTGACGGTGCGCATGCGCTTGAACAGCACCGGTGGGAGCGGGTTTTCTGGCGGCGATGGAAGCGTGGTGGCTGCTGCTGCTGCGTCGCACGCATCGACAGGCACGGCACGACGTGAAGTGACGGCGACTCCGTCTGCCTGCTGGCGCTCCAGTTCCGCTTGCTTGTCGTCCTGCTCACCTGCTTCCTCGGGCACGGCAGCCGTCAGTGCCTCTTCATTCCCCTCATCCCCATCGGCATCACCATCGCCGGCTTCAGTGAGAGGTGCAGAAGCTGCCTCCGCCACAACTTCATCGTCATCGTCCTCCGCCATCTCAACTTCGTGTTGCTCTTGCTCTTCCCCTTGCTCTGCCTCCGCTGCCCGCTCCACCTGGGCAGTGAAGTACGTGTACAGCGCGCGGAGCGAGATGGGCGGCACAAGGTCGTGCACGGATGCATCCAGAATGCTGCTGCTGGCATCCTCCGTGACTGCAGGCGTCTCCTCGCCAGCAACACCGTCGTCGTCTCTCTGTTCCCTGAGTGCGGCAGCTTCCGTTTCCGTTTGGAACTGCTGATCTTCTTGTTCTTCCTCTTGTTCTTGTCCTTGTTCTTCAGCTTGCTCATTCTCTCCCTTGAGTTCAGGTGGAGCCACTGCAGTCTGCACATCTGCGGTGCCGGTGCCTTTGCTGTCAGCACTCTCGTCAGCAGTGACTTGATGGTGCTCAGCGGCAACCTCCCCCTCTTGCTGGTCAGCTTCACCTTTTTGGTTCTTGCGCTGGCGATGGGCACCACCGCGACGGCGCGCACGGCGCTCACGCGGCTGCTGCTGCTGCTGCTGTTGCTGCTGCTGTTGCTTGACGATGTCAGAGGCACTGCTGCCGACTTCAAGCGAGCCCGATTCGTGGGGAGTGACCACGGGAGGTGCCTTGCCGCTGGTGCCGTTCTCTGGTTGCCGGTTGTCGCGCTTGGATTGCTGCGCTTGATTCTTGCCGCGGCTGCCGCGTTGGCGCTGGCGGCGGCGAGAGGACCCACGCTGCTCGATGGAGGGATCATCGGCCTTGGCCACTTGATCCCCATTGGCATGGTTTGCCTTGGACGCAGCACCACCATCAACTGCAGCGGCAGGTGGCTCGGTTGACAATGCCGAAGCAGGCTTGGAACCGCGACCACCACGACGACCTCGACCACGCGGCTTCTTGCGGTCGTCAGATGGCTGCTCGGGCTTTTGCTGTTGCTGTTGCTGCTGTTGCTGCTGTTGTTGCTGCTGTTGCTTGCCTTGGTTGCGCGCATGCTGCTGCGGCTTGTCTTGCCTGGCTGGCGCTTCATCCGCTTGCTGCTGTTGCTGGTGCTGCTGCGGCTTTTTCTTCTTCTGTCCACCACGACGCGAACGTCTTCGCCCGCCTTCGCTGCTGCCATTGGGCACGGCTGCAGCGGTGGCTGGTTTCGATGGTGCAGCCATGGTGGCTGCGACACGGTCTGCCATTGCAGTTCTTCGCGCTTTGGTGCTGATCGATGAAGCCACAGACGGATGAGGACGTGGTTTGTGTGTACGCGGTGTCAGTGCGATAATGGTGTGGAAGCACAAACAAGATGGAAAGTGCGCTGTGCCAGCCGTGGTTGAGGAAAAGTTGGTGAAGTTTTCGGCCAATAATCAGCAGCGATGCTGCAAAGCAAGGACAGCAGTGAAGAAGGAGGGGGAGTGCGCGGTGACTTGCGGTGTGGTGGTGATGCAGCCAGCAATGGTGATGACGAGAGTGAGGATGTGGTCACGCGGCTCTTGCAACAGGTGACCTCGCAGCTGTCCTATGAGCAGAGGCTTGCTTTCCTCAAACGCCTTCCAGTCATGTGCAAATCAGATGGTACGTAGGTGTGTGTGTGTGTGTGTGTGTGTGAGTTTACGATTCATTATCCTAGGCGCTGGGTAAGGGTCGTCTGGATATAATTGTTTAGAGTAAGGGTTTAGCGTGATTGATCGGGGTTGACTTTAACGCCGTCTGCTACCTGCAAGATTTCTAACAGCGTATAGACCAGTTGGGCCTTGACAAATCGGAAACGTCGGTGTCAGGGCAGCGGGGAAAACAACAATAGACCAAATGACCACCGATACAATACAATCTGCCGAAAAGGTAATCTATCATTCAACGCCATCGGGTAAAGCGATGATCGGACGCTAGACGCTCAGACTACTAGACTAAATCATGGCACGGGCGGCAATGAGAGTGAGCGTGAAATGGACACTCGTAACAACTGAATAAAGACAGAGCTATATCTCAAAGCGACGCAACATCGCATGCAGGATAAGACGAGACCGGACGGCGGTAGAGAGAGCAGTATATCATCCGCTGCAGGAGA